ATGAAAGGAGTATTTGTTATAGCAGAACAGAGAATTGAATATAACTACATTAACTAGTTTGAGATTAAAACGTAAGGATTGGTATTTGACAATNGGATATGAATTTATGTCTAAGGGGTGGTTTGGTATAATGGTGGAACATTTTAATATATTTCGGACCCGTTTGGTCATAGTATTTACTAAAATAAATTTGATTTTTTTGGCACACATGTTTGGCGATAGATTTTGCTTACATTTTGGCAAAATCTCAAATCCCAAAACCAACTTAATAGCGGGTTTTGGGCCAAAATATCACTATTACATTTTTTAAAAATTGCCCCAAACTTTTGTATTTTATAAAAGAGTCCACCATTTGTTATTTTATAACAATGTTGCTTCGTCTTTTCGGTCGTGTGATGGTGTATCATATAATTCATTATAAAAATGATAATTTTGTACCAAATTTATTTATGTTCAGGATTATGGTTTGCGATAATATAATGAATGTTATAGATAATGATATTGTTGGGTATTTGTAATAGTTTTTAGAATTTGTGGGTATAAGTCATATTTTATGTTTTTCCAAAATATGTTTTGAAAACTGATGTTCAAACACATTTTCATCTTCAAACCAAACTTTACCAAATCAGATTTTTTATAACAAATTTAGAAATCTATGGTCAAACGATAGCTTCTTGAGATTAGCTATTCTACCTCGTATATGAGATAGATATTCATTATTTTAGTGTAAAATTTATTCCGAAATTAGTTAATAAATATAACTAAGCATGACATCAATACAATTCAAAAGTCTATCCCAAAATTATTATTTTTATCCAATGTACCAAACAACCCTAAAAGAATTAGTACAGTACGTTATCAAAAAGTTGTATTATATTCTTCACTGCGGAGGATTAATTAGCGTGATAAATTAAAAAATTGAAAAGTAAATACTACTCCAGTAAATAATAAGTACTTGAGTTAGTTGAGAGTTGTGAAAGGCTTATTTTCTTAAAGGTAGATAGGGATACAGGACACAAGGACAGACATTGTTTTTTTGTTTTATTCCTTTAAGGGCTATACGAATTACTGCAAATATTACATGAACAGGGGGAATCGGCCTTTTTAGCATTTCCATTTACGAACAAAGAATCAATGACAATCCCTATAACATAGCCTAATCTTACTCCCACTACATCATTTGCCTTTGCTTTTTTGTCCTTCTCTTTTTATTGTTCACCACCCACTTCATTACTCACCTTTGATTTTTTTTTTTCCACTCCTTTTTTATACCATTTTTTTTGTTTATATTGTGTTTATTGTGCTGCAATTAATGAAATTACTTTTGATTTTTTTATATTCAATTACTAAAAATTTTGATCTCCAATAATTTAGAATTATGATAATTTCCTAAGGTAATTGTAACATAAAACATACTTCATTTTCCATTAAAAAAAGTTTTCGATCCATACCAAACACATGATTACTAATTATATAAATAAATTGACGTGCAAGAAAAGAGAGTAGCTAGGAGTCAATGCGTACACACACACCTTATTGGTTGAGGATGTTATTTTCTCATCTTTTAAAGAATATTTAAGCAATGATTTGCTGCTAATATAAGAAGATCTTCTAGTTCTTTCTTCCTAGGAGATACACTTTTCGGATGAGTATGCTATTTTTTCATATTCAAGAAGAATATCACTGCAATGATTTGTTACTAATATAAGATAGACTACTAAGACTATAGCCTATAGGCAAGGCAATAGCCTTTGATACGACATTGCAATATTCTTGGCGTAGGGGGACCTCAATCTCGCCCCGACTATGAGTTAAACCATTAGGTCTCTTTTTAAAACTTCGTTTATGCTGATACTTGTTCTCTACTGACAATACACAACCATCTCTTTCGTTTTTTTTTTTTTACAAAAGAATTGGAGAAATAGAACTCTTTGTTTGGAGTACAATAGTAAAGGCTTTGATTAACTTTATCCTATGATGCAAACTTGTTGTTTTTAATTTCCTACGTAACATTAACAACATATTTTAGAATAAGATGACAATAAGGGGTCGTTTGGTAGGGTGTATAAGAATAGTGCGGAATAAAGAGTATTAGTAATGTATGGGTTAGTAATGCAAGTATTAGTTATGCAAATATTATTTCTTATCTACTGTTTCGTGTGGTGTATTAAAATTATAAGGCATTGCATATTTTTTAAGAAAAATAGTTGCTTACAAAAATGTCCTCCATATTCTCTAGCTTTAAGGGACTTTAAGGACAATTTTGTCTTTAACCATGCTAATGCATGCATTAAAGCCTTGGTATTACTAATGACATGATTTTCTATGCATTACTTATGCATAGGATAATGCCAAGTATGATGTATAACTATTACAAGTATTAGTTATACACAAGTTGAAAAAATGTACCAAACAAAGTATTAGTAATACATAGAGCTAATGCTTGCATTATTTTTTCTAATACCTCCTACCAAACGACCCCTAAGAGTTAGTAGGCGTTTGGACATGATTTTTTTTTTTCAAATTTGGAATTTCACTAAAATTTGAATTGAAGATGAAGTTTTGTTCGGTTATAATTTTTGCAATATATTTGGAAGTTTTTTTTTCAAAATCATGAAACATGATTATATCCCACAATTTGTAAAAAATATCAATACCACCCCCTATCAAATTACTGTGTCATATCATGAAAGTTTGGGAGAGAGTGGTAGAAACAAACAATCAAACATGCTACATTCTTTAACTGTTATCATATTCTATTTTGTTGCAACACGCAGAAGATGGAAAATCAATATCCTATATTCTAAATTTACTGACATACAAAGAAGGTACAAAAACAGGCCACATATTTTCATAACCATAGCTGATGGGAGATACCAACTAGGGGTATACAAAAGAAACGAATAAATCGCACCAATCCGATAATCCGAGTCAAACCGAGAAAAAAAAACCCAACTATGGTTTGACTTGGTGTTGGAAAAAAATCGACCATAATTGGCTTGGTTTGGTTTTAACTAAAGAAAGTCAAACCGAAACCAAATCAACCCGACATTGCATATATAATTTTTTTAGATATATTTAATATATAAATATACTTATTGTGATGTAATTTATAAATATTTCTTAAACTATTTCATAATTTTATCTTTTAAGGTATTATTTCGAGGTTGGACTTAAAACTTTTGAATGTTCCAATAAGTTTTATAGTTATTAATATTAGTAACTTAAATAATGTTAACAAAAACCCAAACCAAAATCAAATCAATAGTAATGCTAACAAAAGACATTCAATTCAATATTACGAACGACAATGTATTGAATATCTATTTTTTGTTTTGCAATAATTTAGATAAAAATACATAACATATTTTTATTTTTTCTTTAGCGTTTAGTCATGTAAGTAATACTCCCTTATTAGTCTACTTATTTTAGCATGACTTGGTACTTTTAGATTATTTTTATTTTTATTATGGCTTTTTAATTAGCAATATTTATATTGCATAGTTTTATTATCTTTATTGTTGAATATTTTAGGATAATGTCATGACACATCTCATATTTTGTATTATTTTCTTAAAAAATACCTTATATAGTTGTATCTTACTAGGATTAAAGAAATATTTTGAGCACAAGTTATATATTTTGTGCTACAAAGATTTTATCAGGAAAAAAATCCGAAAACCCGAGATTGAAAAACCCGAGTTTTATTGGTGTGGTTTGGTCTTTAAATTTAATAACCTGACTCAATTGGTTTGGTTTGGTAGTTGCAAAATCCGAACCAACCCGACCTATGTACACCCAATACCAGCCCTTGTCGGATTGGGATGGCAAAGGCAGCCGCACACTTTGGTGAGAAGAAGACCTGCTGCTTGCGTTTTCTGTTGTTGACTTTATGGAAGGGAAAGTGGGTAGTTGATAGTTACCTAGATTAATAACTGATAGAGTCTTTTATAAATTTTAAAAATATAGGGTAAATTTATAAAATTAAAAAATAGCAACCTTCCAATTTTCAATTGAAAAATGGATTCTCACCGGTTTTTCAAATTTGAAAATGCATTTTAAAGTGAGATTGGAAAAATGGTAAGCTTGTCCAAACGGGCACTTAAAAACAAGAGTAAATAGCAAGAAGTTGAAGAATCAAATCTCTTTAATCTTATTAGATCAAGAAACAATAATAGTTCCTTTGCTTAGTGAATAAGGTAAAGAAGTCTTCTCAACATCAATGTTTATCGACAAAAATTAGGGTACAGTCGTCCTTGAATCTTGAAATATCAAAAACTATATCCGTTAATTCTCTTGAATTACAAACACGTTTTCTCTCAAAATAGAAAAAAGTAGTGTCTTATAAAAGTTGAATTTTGGACCACGTTTTGATTTAATTTCCCGTTTTTGCTTTATAGGTTGTTTCTTTTTAATAATATCAAGAATGAAATTGTTTTTTTTTTAAATTTTAATCTGTCGCCTGGAAAATTACAATAATGAAATTTTTACTAACTAGTCATTTTCCCGAGGAGTACTGTTCGCTCAAAGAGGAAATGTTTTCAGTATATAATTAGTGATCATAAATAAAAGAAAAAACTTAAATCTACCAGAAATAACTGTTAACCTATTTTACTGTCACTGTGAAAAAAGAAGTGGAAATATCACAACTTATGTATGTATAAAAAGACACATATTACTAGCAGATAAACACATTATACCATGTTCCTCTCATTTCTCAGCTGTAGTCTCTAGTTG